GCCTAATTAGGAGCTGAAAAGCAAGGGAGGTGCCTCTCGGGTTTCTGTGGGTACATCTGTGTGCCAGGTGAAGACGTGGAAGTTGCTGTAAAGCACCTCTTTGTGCTCTGGTGCCGTTAAGAAGGGCAGCTCATGGCCAGCAGCGAGGATTAGCAGCTCATGCGAGAGCTTTGGGAAGCCTTTACCCTCCCTCCTTCCCTGCCCAGCTGTTGTTGCTCGTGGTCTCTGCACACACACTTTGTAAAGACACACGTGCTGCTGTTGCTCCTGCTGCTGCAAACTCCTCTTCCCTTTGTGCTCCAGAGACAGCAGCAAATTTGCAGCTCCCCCGGCAGGGCCTGCCTTGTGTGACCCCTGAGATCAGGTGGGTTTTGGGAGGCAGGTAAAATGTGTGTGTGCATTGGATTTTTCTCCTTCCCTCCAGATCGGTGTTATCTCCACCCCGATTTTGCACAATTTTGCAACTGCCTACTTTCTGCTTGACTAGAGATGTTAACACTAATTAAATTATGTATGGCTATTTCTGACCAGGACAAAAATATAATCTTGCCTTGTTTGAAGTAATTCTTATGGATTATAATAAATACTGTTTGTTTTTTTTGACAAGAGATGATTTCACACTTGGTGCAGTTAAACTGCTGGACCTTTTCTGTCTAGAATAAAAATGTATTTCATATTTCCAATTTTTTATGCTTTTGTTTGTTCTTAAAAAAACCCCACACAAATGTCCATCACTGATATAATAAATTTGCTGTGCAGTGGAAGTAAAAGAAAAAAAATCTCAAAGGCTTAGCAGACCACAAGGAAACTATTTCCTCTAAATTCCTGAAAATGTATTTTTATGTGGTAACAGGATTAATATTGTTAGGGTTGCCCCCACCCCCATATTATTAGAAGGATAATATCTTAACTATAACTTGCCTGAAAAATGTTTTCAGGAACATCTTGTGATGGTGTGGTGGTTTCCAGCTGAACAGTGAGAAGGCTGGGGGTGTGTTGGAGCTTCTCCTCGGCCTTTGGCCACTAATGTGCCTTCTGGTCACAGAGTCCCTCGTGACTGAGAACTCCAAATAACTCTGCAAGCCATGAATTCTGCCCTAAATTCCTCATACCACCAACTGGTAATTTTCTTGCGTGTGAAAGGATATTGTGTAGAGGATTATTTCCCCCTCTTAATGAAAGTGTGATTGTGCTCCTATGCTGGAACATACTTCATAGCGAAGATTCACCAATAAGGGAGTTAAAAAGAAGGAAGCAACCAAATCCAGCTGGTTTCACTGATTGAATTTAGTGCAGATGTGGTTTGTTTCTGCACTGTGAAGTGAATCCATTCAGAAGGATGTCCTCCTACGAAAACTTGTATGGAATTTTTAATAGCCACAAGTGGTCACAGAATTGTTTATACATCTTGTCTGAAAGCTGGAAAACGTTCCTATAATTAAGTTTAAAAAAAAGGGAGCATGTAGGGGGGAAAGGAAGAGAGATAGCCTGAGAATATCCGTTGAGGCAAATGTCCTGAAACAATCAGATTTGTTCTCAGAGATGGATGTATATTATTTTAGAGGCCAGAAGAAACATGTCTTCCCATTCTGTGCATGGGCGAGGACGAGTTTGTTTAGTTTTAAGCCTTGCATTGTGTAAATATCTTTACACTTGCAAGATGTCTCAACTGCAGCAAAATTAAATTCCATCTAATTGTTCTTTGCTTGGAATGCAAATACCAAGGACCACCAATTTGGGACTGACACACCAGAAGGAAAATATTTATCTTTATGAAACCAAAAAGTTAGTTGGGCAACGAGAACCAGGCAGTTGTGTTGCTTCATAAGTAGGGTTACAGAATGAGTGTTTTGTCTGTCGTTAGAGATTGCTGGATGTTTGCTTTCTGCTGGCTGTGGAGGTTTCGCTGTGTCTTCTGGAGAGGCTGAACTCTGCCATCAGTTGAAGGGGTCGGGTGAGGTTGCTTTGGCTGGTGACTGAATATCGAGAGGCTGAAGTGAAGTTAAACTCAGGAGTTTTGGTTCATATAATACCATTGGAGACCTGGAAAATTATTTAAATTTTACTCCTGAAAAAGGGGAGGATATCAGGACTTGGAAAGTACTAGCTTTGTCTTCTGTCATGGGGTTTGCTCCTAGTTTTCACTAACCTGTGGGGTTTGTTCACTGCACTGAAACGCTTTTGTTCTTCTTTAGTATTTAAATGTTCATGCTAACTCCTCCCGTCCTGTCTACTTGGTGTTTAGATTGGTGAAACACCAAAAAAATAGAAGTGACTCAGACAGGACAGCTCCAAAATTTGTTTTACAGACCAGGTATGTGCTCTGAGAGCTCTTCTGTGTGGAGGATTGTGTGAACATAGGCTTGGAACAGCAGAAGTGTTCTTGCTGCTGGAGGCCAAAGGGTGGCTCATGGGAGCCACAGAGTCCCAACAACAGGGGCAATGGATGTAAAGCCATGGAGCCTCCTGAGCAAACACCTTCAGCCTGGGCAGTTCCAGGCTGGAATGCCACGAGCAGTCTTTAAAGAACCTTTTTTTCAGTGCATTCGTTTTCCTCCTGATATGTTTTCTCACAGCATGAGTAAAGGGAGGCAGTGATGACACACAAGGATGAGAATAAGGCAAACATCTTCACACAGGCCCGTTTGTGGTGACTGCAGAACAGGGCTCTGAGGAGTCATCACCCCTTCTCTGCTGGTAGTGTGAATGGAAGGAAAATATTGCCTATACCAATAGTTTCTGGAAGCTGAGCAGTACTGTAACTCCCACTCAGTTATATCCTGATTCTTCTATTCTTATCAAAAGACATTGGACTCCTTTGGCTCTGATATTAATACCATTATTTAAAGATGTTGCATTAATGTGCAGATTTATCTAAGTGCTCTGCTAGCGCAGAATCTTCTTTTCCAGCAGACTCCTTGTCTTGCATCTGGCAGATAGGTACTTGATGTGATTTCCTAATGCAGAAGGCAGGCTGACTCCATTTAGTTTATTCCCTTTTTGTCTAACAGCAGCATTAATTACACTGGGAGGGTTGTCTGGGCTGTGATCAGAGGAGAGGAACACACAGCAGACAGTGTCTGAGTGCTGTATGAAAAGGACTGAGGTGTTTGAGTTCTTTTTTTTTTTGGTTAGGTTACTTGAGCATAGAAAACTGTCACAATTTCATGTTGATTCCAAAAAGCAATTTCACTTGTTCCAGATATTCCAAACCTGTCCCAAGGAGCCTTAACTGCACGGTAGGGGAATGGAGAGGAAACTGCAGTGCCACTCACTGATGTGCAGCTTTGGGAAGGCTTTGTGGTAGTGGCTAATCCAGAGATTTTGTAACTCAGCTTGAAGAAAAAGCAAGCACCATCTATGAATTCTAAATATTTAATGGATAGAATTATATTCTGTTGGGATTCTGATTAGTATTCTCAGTTGCCAGTTAAGGTGAGAGTTACCAAAATGAAGAACTCTTACTAATACTGGTACTGCAAAACTTTAATGTAATTTCACCTACAATACTGCCAAAATGCATTAAGGATATCACTGATTATATACAGTTTACCTTTTTTATAATCAGCATTGGGTAACAGTCTCAGTTGGTTTTTGTTGTCAGTGCTCAGTTAACTAGCTGCAATATTTGTGGTGTGTGTTTGTACACAGTGTGTGCACAGTCACAAAATCCCTTGAGCTTTGATGTTTTGAGATCTTAGAATATACATGTAGCACAAAGATGTGATGTAGGATTGTGTATTTATAAGGTTTGATGTGAAGAGACTCTTAGCACTATTTGCATGCAAGGAATTTTTAGGAGTGGGTAGATTTCTGATGAGATGAAAAGAAAAAGCAGGTAAACATGCTGAAGTCTGGTATTCGTTCAACAGAAGACTGTCATTTCCTAAACTGGAAGTAATTTAATCATGTTTGTATCTGGAGTAGTTAAATGAGATCATTTGCTGTAATTACTTCATGTCTAACAAGGTCTGTCACCATTTGGATTTTATGTTATGGTTTGGATCCTAAAAGGAAAGGAGCTCAGCCACTGGATGTTGAAATAATCAATATATTTCATTATTAAGATTTGAACAGAAACTGTGTTTCAAATGTGGCTTTAAAACTCTCCTCTCAAGCTGAACCTTTTTTTTTGTAGTCCTCTTGCTACAGCCTGTTCAATATGTATAGGACATAAAGCAGTGGCTTTGGCCATCCCAAAGGACTTCACTTGTTGTGTGTTGCTGTTGGGACAGAACCATGTAAATACCTGATTAATTATTTTTGTTGTTCCATTTTACTGAGCTGGAAGGAAAAGCTGTTCTATAATTAACGAGCTATTTCCAAGAAAGCATTAAAACTGTTATTGTAGGATCATTGCACAGGAGGGGAATATTTGTGGTTGGTGTCTAGTGCTGTACAAAGGAGCAGGAGAAAACTCTGGCCAAAGGAGTTTCTTACTGGGGAACATCTGGTGGCTCAAGAAAAGCAAAGGGTTTGTGCAAATAACTTTTGGTGTTCGAACTCAGCACCAGGATGCACATCTGGTGCATAGCACTGGGTATTCTTTGACTTTTTTCTCTGAAAGACAGTCATGCCTTTGGAGTCATAATTCATTTACATGAAGAATTTTGGTGTGTTACTGGTATAATAGGAATTATATCAGACTTGAATTTGGCAATGAAGCTGTAGAGCCAAATCTTACCCCACTGTATGATAACAAGATTCCTTTCATTGTCCGTCTGTCTTTTGAAAGATAGATTCTGTCCACAGTAATTCATTCAATTACCTTACTTAAGACTTCTGTAGACTACCAATAAATTAGGTTTGGCTTTCATTTGTGGGTTTGTTTGTTTGTTTGGGGTTGTTTTTCCTAATAATTATCCCAGCTAAAAACAAACAAACAAAAGGTTCTGATGATTCATGTAAACTTACTTCTCTTAATCAGTTTATTAAGTTTTCTGTGATGAGTTTATTATGTTTGCAAATGCTCAAAGCCTCTTTGTTTTGCTGTGTTGCAGTGCCTGACGACCTCTCTATAGAAGAAAGAGAAGAGCTTTTAAATATTCGTCGCAGGAAAAAAGAACTGATTGATGATATCGAGGTAATTGATTTTTCTGTGGAGAGCCTTGGGATGCTGCTTCAGTACATTAAGTTACAGTACTAGATATGAATTACAGGTAGTGGTTTTAAAAGCACATAAATGGCTTAAGCTAAATATTACTGATAGTGGCTAGGATTTATGTTCATATGTGTGATTCACAAATGGTAACTCCTGAACTGACATATGTACAGATTTGAGTTGTGTAACCAACAACTCCTTAAACAGCAGATTTGCACCCAGAATAGGAGTGAGAAATCTGGGTAAAGAAATCTTGTAATGACGGTTTGTCTTGGTGCTCTGGACACAAGCACATGCTGGGAGGTCAGATCCAGGTGTTTATCAGTCATTCAGTTGTGGTAAAACATTCAAATATCTAAGGAAGCCCTAAGATTCATCACTTTTCTTCAGGTAACTAGCAAATGTTAGAAAATAAACCCCAACTGATGATATTATTATATGACTGATGATTTCAAAAGGTGTCTTAACGGGAGTTAATGTGTTGTCCTTCCTTCTTTTGACAGAGATTAAAATTTGAAATTGCTGAGGTTATGACTGAAATCGATAATCTGACAAGTGTAGAAGAAAGGTAAGTAATGCCAACATCTGGACATGATTAAGACCTTGGAGCAGGTCTTCCAGGAACAGCAAATAAAATTAGCTTTCTCATGCTAAACAAACATTGGATCACCTTTATTTAGTCTGTTATAAAATCTCTAAAGCCTGACTTTATCCTATGCAGATGTTTCATTAATTTGGATAGATAATATGTTGGATAGAATGTAATATTTTAGATTGTTCAGTTGATCAAGATCTAGTTCTCTGATGCTGCAGTTGTTTGAAGTAATTGAAAATAGTAACATAATTTCCCCCCTCTGTAACAAGTGAATCTCTTGTTTTTGTCAAAGATACAAAGTAGCCAAAATAAAATTAAAAATTTATCTAGAAGTTGTTGGTTTAGTAAAAGAGCAACTAATAACAACTTGTTGTTTCTTCTTTTCCTCCATATGTAGCAAAACTACACAAAGGAATAAGCAAATAGCCATGGGGAGGAAGAAATTCAACATGGACCCTAAGAAGGTAGAGCAATTTTTTTCCCACTTGTCAGGAGTCAGTTTTTGCTTGTAATATGATCTGTGACAAATTCATTCACATTTTTCTTAAGAGCCATTTCTGATAATGACAGTTCTCAGGCCTCATTTACACATCCTGTAACAGCCTGAGCAGAGGGTTAAATTGGGAGCAGTCTTGGAGTTCTTTGGTGTTTGGTTATTAGTGAGGCCATACATTTATTTTTTTTTTAATGCTTCCTATTTTTTTCTTCCAAAGCTCCTTTACCATGTTTTTTTTTAATTTGGTCTCCTGCAGACTGTATTTGCAGATCTAAATTCTGTTTGTGCAAAAGGCATGTATTAACACCTGTATGTTTGTCTGTGTGTATATATATAGTTGTGTACCCATCTGACTTGTACAAACCCCTGCAGGCAGGAACTTGGTTACCAGTTTCAAGAAATATGTTGTGCATTAGCCAAGAAATAAAGTAGTTCATTTCTCTGGAGTGCCTCTATGTTTCTTGAATAATTGTTAATTTTCTGGAAAATCTGGGGACCTGCACATTTTCTTTCAGACCCTCCTGACACATTTATAAGAGCTGCTTTGACATATTTGACTTCTAGTCTTTGCTCTTTTCACTTTTCATCCTCCTTGCTTTGTTTTATTGTCTTCCGTTGTTTGAGATTCCATTTTGAATTTGTCCTTTTGGAAATCATTTAACATTTGTTTCTCTGTGTTCTTGACACGTTTTCTTTCCAATGGTATTGAATTCAGTTACATTTTGGTGGCTTTCCTGAAGTGTTCCAAGTGCAGCGATGGCTTCTGTTCTTCAGGATGTTTTCAGTTTGCCAGAAACTCCCAAGTGTTTTATAAAGAGCCCTTTTTAAAGTGCTGGCCGTGTCTTTTAATTTTTGTTTTCCGTTTTGTTGACTGCCTAACTAACTTCTGTTGAGGGCAGAACAGCCCCAGATATCCTGATAGTTTGTTGTTCTCCGGCTCCTTTGTGGCCTAGAAGTTTGTGGCAAAGTCACAGGATGATGTCAGATGCTTCCACTCCAGCGTTAACTATTTTCTGTTACTGTTCTCGCTGGCTGAAATTATTTCTATAAATAGATGCTGTGGCCACATTGCCACTGTAATATAATTTAAATGTGGTAAACAGAGTAGTAATTTCTTAATAATGTCTGGGGATCAGTGGGGGCCTGCAGGAGCTGGGTCATCGTGCTGTTTGCAGCTCCTGCTTTGAGTTAGAGACAGAACATAAGTCCTGATGTTGGGAAAACTCACTCGGGTTCATTGTGAAGAGGATGTTTTTCATTCATAAATGGGAGGGAAGATGGTCTCTGGAGTTAGGAATGCCAAAGAACTGGGGTAGTAATACTTGTGCTGAATCCCAGTTTTCTCCTTTAAAACCAAGTAACAGGTTCTCATGTTTTCATATTAGCAGGAACACAGTGAGGTCATTTTCTTTCACCACTTTCTGTCTGAAGATCTTTACATGTTCTGGTGCATGTGTAGAGCAGTTCTCCCTTTCCTCCCTCTGGGAGTAGCTCTGAAAATAGTGTTCAATGCAGTTACATGATGTAGTATCACACACTTTGGTGTTTGGTTTGCTCAGCTCGTGTGGGATGGGCTGTAATGGTAAAGTTTGTAAAACACTTCAAAAATCCCTGTGCAGGGACATAAAGCTGGATTTGAAATGTGCAGCACTCTAGGCAGTACTGCCTGTGCTGAGCCCAGGGAGTGAATTCTCTGTGACAAAGGCTGGGTTTAAATGGCTGCAAACTTTGTCATGAACTTACCCTGAAAGCGATGAAACTCAGAGCAGATTTCGTTGCGTTGACTTCAATCTGTGCAATATTTGTAGTGAACATTGAATATTTCTGTAGGCACGAGTTTTGTGTGGGGAAGTTAAACCAGTGCAGCTGTCTCTTGTCTCCTGTCAGTCTAGAGAATAAAATTTGCATCAAGACAAAAGATAGCGTAGGAGGTGACGGGGGCTTGCCTGGCCTATTTTGCCATTTATTCCAGACACTGGAATTGTTGTCCCAGACAGATTCCTTTTCCTGTCTGTTTGACTTCTGGTTCTTGAGCATCTTAAGAATAATTTAAAAAAAAATAATTTGATTTTTGCAGTAAGTTAAAGTCTCTGCTTCTGTGCACAGAAACATTTTTCCATGCTTTTGGTCATGTCCATTATCAGTAACATGTACAACTTTAGGAAAACTATTCAGGTCAGTCTATTTATACTAAGCGTGAATAATACGGGCCAGGTGTTGGACAAGGGAATCTGCTGTTCCTGATGTTGTTACAGGGAAGGTTCTCTGTTGGTTGACAGAGCTTTTTGGATAACTTGGTGTGAGAAAAACCACTATGTTTTGTAGTCCAATATTGTATAAATATTTAGTTATCAAATAAGCTTTGTAGGGATCAATTTCAAGAGAAGCTCAGCTATTTCTGCTTCAAGATAAAATAGATTCTTTGCAAAGAAATCATGTCTGTTGTGAAATGACTTATCAAAATATTAAGTTGTCAGAGCAGCAGCCTGGCACTGAAATTTTCAGATGATGATAAAATTGTTTTGAGAGAATTGCATCCCAGACTTTCTAAAGAAATCTTCAAGCTTTATACCATCATGATTCATTTTCTTTGTTAAAGATCTGTTAGGTCAGAAAATTGACCTTTTTTTTTTTTTTCTTTTTGGTCAGGCAGGTACTCATTTAATTATCAAAAGCTAGAATTAACCAAACAAAAAGATAATTACTGTTTTGAATGTCACTAGAAGGCCACCTATACCATGTCAAAAAATAATGGAATTTTTTCTGTTGTAGTGAAATAAAAAAGAAATATATTTCACTTGCAGAAAATGAAAAAATTCTGATAATCCTGAAATATTGTAGGTGAACAAATTAGTAATTTCTTCTTAACCTCTTTTGTACATACTTGGAATCCAAGACACTAAGGTTCCATACAGTTCCCATTTCTACATTCCACTTAGCATGCTGTTAACAACTTAAAGAAATCGGCAGGAACAGCAACATCTTTGGGAGGGAAAAGAACTTGGTTCTCTCTTCGTGACCCGCTGAGTTCTGGAACAGCCTCCCTTCCATCCTTTACCCAACCTTTATATCACCCTCAGTCTCCTTTCTTTGCCCCTTTGCAGAAGGTTCCCTGGGCTCCCCCGGGGCGTGCCAGTTGTAGGGCAGTAATTTACGGAGGCCCAGGAGTGAGTCCAGGGGCTTTACCAAGTTCCCTCTGAGGGACAGGGTAAGACTCTCCCCCTGCCTTCCCTAGAAGCTCCGTGGTAGAAGCTTGGCTGGTTCCTGAGCAGTGTGTGACTGGTGTGGCTCAAATCCTTTGTGAATAGTTTAGTCCCAGCCCAGCTGGAACCCTCGGATAGTCCCGGTGTCAGCAGAAACTCCTTTTTAAACCGGTTTCGGTATCTTCAGCTGCCACTTCTACGGCAAGTAGTGGCTTGATGTGTTGGGTTGCAGTTTGTAGATTATAGCAGATGCTTTATTTCGTGTCGTGGTGGTAATTAAGTTGTTTCCACGTACCTCTTCATTATGTGATTTTGCAGATTACGTCTCTGCAGACATTTGTGCAAGGGCCAGCTCGCACATTGACTCAAAGAGCAACATGGAATCGTTATTCAATTAATATTTGATCTTTCTGTTGTTGAGGGATTCAAACTGCCACCTAGTACTTCTAGCCTTAAAAGTGTGTTCTCATTTTGCATCTTTAAGCCAGTACTATATACTGCTTATGTAACTGAAAAACATTTGTTTGCCATTTCATTTAAAAACGTAAAAATCTGTAGGTTAATGTAATTCTCAATGTGCTATGTATGTGTCTGTGTAAGTGCATTAATACCAAATGTTATGAGTGATATTTCCATAAATGCTTGTGGAAGAAAACATAACATTCCTTTTCCTCTGGAATTGTTCTTCCTAGGGAATACAGTTCCTGATAGAAAATGACCTCCTGCAGAACACTGCAGAAGACATTGCACAGTTCCTTTATAAAGGAGAAGGATTAAATAAAACGGTAATTGGAGATTACCTCGGTGAAAGGTAAAAGAGAAATATTGAGATGAAACTTTATTCTTGAGTTTACAGAGCATATTTACAGGTTTGGGATGGTTACCTTCCCCTTCACAGGCTGCATGAGAGAGCTGCTCAACTATTCTATAAAAGCCACAGCGGGATGTGAAACTGCCACAGCATTGTGATAGGGCTTTTTTCCTGTTAGGTTGTTGGTTTTAAATGGGTACATTGAGGGATGATACTTAATTAACTGTAATTTATTATTTTGAGAAATTTGACTATAGTGCAGAATTAACACTGTAAGCTTTTGGAGTGTCTGGGAGTTGTATTGCAGCAGTTCTGCTACCTCTTGGTGCTGTGTCCAGAGAAGAGCGATTGACAATCAATAATAATCAGACAGTAAAGAAATTACTTATTACAACAGGTAGTCCCTGAGCCAATAATTGTTCTCAGGTTTAGTGTTGTCATCTTCCCTGCACAGAGACTTCCCGTGAGTCAATAGTGTCTCAAAGGGCAGCTGCACCGGATCCTTATCAATCCCAGTACAAGAAACATGCAACCTGTGTTAATGCAACTGTTGCAAAACACAGCCAGGGTGCAAATTACTTCCATGGCTGTGCAACCCAGGAATTGATTTTGGAAAAGGCAGCCCAGAGCCAAGCAGTGCAGGGTGGATTGGGGTGTGTGTGTGTGACGTGCTGGCACATGTTCAGGTGCCAGTTGTGGAGGTTTAGCGGTTGACTCATTTAGGATAAACTCCTGTGGGAATGTGTTGTGGCAGATCCCTTTTTGAGACACCCCAGTCTGCTTTACAGCATCAACAGCTCGGTTTGTGCTCAGCAATTTCCTCTTGACATTTGGGTTTAATGGAAGTTTTTACTGTAATATATAGATTTTGAAAATAGATCTTCACTGTGGAGTCCCTATACAGAATATGTAGACATGTCAGCAATTTTTATACAACAGATTTGTGTTGCTTCTCTTGAATATTTGGGCAGTCAGTATTATAAAATCACTTAGTTGTTAATATCCATAATTGCAAAACTGTAACAAGGCCTGGATAAAGCAATCTGTTCTCCTGTGAGAGCTGTACCTTGGCATCATCTTCTGAAACACTTCCAGTTTTTCTAGCCCCATTCCCAGAACCCTGTGCTCATGCAGAAAGGTCTTGCCAGTATGTCCAAGCTCACTGGAATCATTAATAATATTCATGTGATTTATTTGAGTGAGTGCACATTTAGAATTTAAAGTGTTATTGCTCATTCTGCTGCTTCCCTGGCAGGGGTGGTGGACAGCACTGTGGTCTAATCTGACAACACAACCTTAATACTGAGTGGGTACAGAGAGAAATAGGCAATTCGACTTTATCTTCTGAGTTTTTCAAGACACACACTGTCAAATTTCGTGGTCACACTGAATAGCAAATTCAATCAAGATATTTTTTATAGATCTATGAACTGGAGAATAAGGTCTTGGGGGAAACGAAAAAAGTGGACACACTGCTTCTATTTTGCCACAGGGCAGAAGCAGTCTGTCCATTTTAAGGAGCAGTTGAAATCAAAAAGAAATTTTAAAATTATCTTCTGCTTTAAAAGGAGCTTTTATTCAATGTATCCAGTCAGTCTACATAAATTGGTTTTTTGTGTGTTTCTTCATTGCTGTGAAGGGTGGAATATTAACATGGTAATGGGAAAGCAAATGGTATTTCTTTCAATTTTTTTCTTTTCACATACATGAATTAGTAAGGGGTGGCAGTGAAGAGATGACAATCTGATTATCAGGAATGTGTATGGAAATGTCAAGGTAGCTGTGTCTGGAGTGGGGAATTGGTTCATCATACTCCACTGAGCTGCAACATTAATTTCCTAGAATCCTAACAATTTTTATTTGGGTTTCTCTGAAAAGAATGTATTAAACCTTTAGGTCCTGGGGTGAAATAAATACCCTGAGGTAAAATAAAATGTGACAACTGAGGTGTCTTAAGCTGCTAGTTTTGCCTTTGTGACTCCCTCAGAAACAGGCTCTGGAGTGATGCTGTGTGAATGGCAGAGTGTTTGAGGGATGAGCTTTTGCTGAGTTCCACACTAACTTCTCTCTCAAGGCCCATCATGAATTACTTCTGCATTCTAGCTAAATACAGCTGAAGACAAGAGCAGGGTAGTCAACAGAATGAAATATTTGTATAACATTCTGCCATAAAGAGGTATATTTGAAATTACTGACTTCTATAGTCTTACAGCACTGAGCAAACTGAAAAAAGTGCATGGTAAAATGGAGTAACATCTAAAAAGTTACAATAAATAAGGGATGAATTACATTCTATAAAAGATTTAAGATTTATTTCTGTGTGGGCAGGTCTTCATTTATTTATATTTTAAGTGGCTTCCTAGACCTTTCATGTTATTTGGCTGGTGTCCTTGGAGGTGTACCCAGCACAAGTATCACAAACATATAAACCAAATCAATCTTTTGCTCAGTAGCACCCCTGTGGATGCTCTTTTGTTCCACTGTGATGCCACTTCATTGGAAAGCAGCTGCACAGTTGGATTGTGCATTGCTGAATTTGCTGAGAGTGGCTTTGATTTGCTTGGCAGAGCTGGTGTGTTTTTCTGTAACCAATGTGGGAACATCCCAGTGAATGAATAGTTGGCTTTAAGGTATTTACTGGTGAGTGTTACAGGTTGGTCTGACTATGCAGTTAGTCAGTAATGCAACAGATAATTCCTGGGGGTGCACACCTTTCTATTTTCGGGTGGAGGCTGATATGCTACATTCTGTCTTGGTGATGTATATGAAGCACACCCTGAGGATTAGAAACCTGTGTGCTTCTGGCACATGAACTGAGTGAACAAATAGTCTTGTGTTCATCAATGCTTAAATGTGACTTTTGCATTTAAACTCCTTTGTGTCAAACAAAGCATCATTTGACTCACAATTTACACAGAAATGTAAAAGGTGAGTCAAGAGGAAGTTCATTCAAAACCTATTTTGATTTTAGTAAACTTTCATTGTAACAGTTTTTGAGAATGGAATAAGAATACAGTACATACTAAGTAGCTCTTTTCAAGAGCTGATTTTTCTCTGGGATACAATCAGTTGAATCATTTTTGTTTCTTATCTTTGTACGTAAATTAAGATACTGCTTTAATATTTTCTGTTCTTAGAGGGGGAAAAAGGATAGCTTGTTTCACATGTTCTTTAGGGAGATAGAAATTAATTTTCCATTGACCATTGTTTAAGGGTTCATGACACAATGAATGAATTCTTTCTGCAAAAGGATTTACCAAATACATTTGTTGGGTATCATCCTATATCAAGGCAGGTGCAGTAACAATAGAAGTGAAGCAAAGAAAGCCAGGCCATTTTGGGGTAATTCAAATCAGCAGTTCTAAAATCCGTTTCAGTGCACTGGCTCTTGTTGATCTACCAGCAAAAATGGGCAAAACACTAGTGTTAAATATTAAAATACCTCTCAAATAAATGTGTAGAGTATTTCTGAGGGCTTGATTTGATCAGCATGATTGTTTATTTCCTTGCTTATTCTTGGAAGCAAATAGAGATAATCACAGTCTCTAAAGTTCAGAATTGTGATTATCTCTTTCCTTTTTTTGTTTTTCACAGAGATGAATTTAATATTAAAGTTCTTCAGGCTTTTGTTGAACTCCATGAGTTCGCTGATCTCAATCTTGTACAAGCCTTAAGGTGAGTAAATTCTTTCTGGTTTTTGACCTGAGCTTCCTTTATCAAATTGCATGTTCATATGAGTCACTGTGTTGATTTATTGGTCAGAAAGCTGCTCCACAGCTCAGCACAAGTGTACTGAGCATTGCTGTGCAGCTGAGCAGAGACAGCTCTGTTTAACCCTTCCCGTGGCTGGTGTGTGTGCTGCTCTTGGGGGTGACAACCTGATTATTTCAGACAAATACAAGCAACTAAAACATAGCTGTAACTCCTTGGTGTTCCTTCCACCTGAACATCTGAAGGTCTGTTTTTAATCTTAGCACAAGAGATAGGTTAAAAAAGGAACAAACTCTTTACTTAAACCAGATAATTTTCTTCCTCCTTTCCTTCCACCTCAGCCTGTCCCTCTGGGCAGGGAGGGGGAGAAATCCCCTGGCCATAATCAGTGATGGTGCTCAACTGCAAAGAGATAAACTTTGAAACAACCATTTCCTTGTACTTCCCTCAGAGTTTCCCACTTGTCATGTGAAAGAGAGTGTGATATCTCAGCCTGTTTTTATTCCCCTTGCTGAATGAACAATTCACTTGATTTCCCTGGGCTGCCTGCACACAGTGACCTTGTGAGGTCCCTTCTCCTCTCCGTGAAAATCCGTAACAGATCGAGCAAATTAAGTTGACTCAGACAGTTCTGCCTGTTTTGTTGCCGCGAGTGACTCCCTCCTGACACCGGAGAAATGGGAATGTCCGTGTGATCCTTGTTTCTGGTGCAGTGCCTTGTGATGTGGAGCCAGAGCAGCTTTGCTATGGTTGAGTGATGTGGTGATGATAACTTGAGCTGCCTGAGGTTTGAGCCAAGGAAGCCTTTTCTGTGGCTGCTGAAGCTTGGCTGGGAGGCTCCGTGTTCCTGTCCCTTTTACCCAATTTAATGTTAGGTTTGACTTTATTCTTCCTTAGCAGCTGCTACTATTAAATGTTTGTATTTTGGTAGCTTACAAAATTCGTGGTCTGGAACGTTGCACGAGGTGAGTAAAAGAGTATCTAGAGCTGACAAACTAAAGATGGCCTGTGACCCTTTAATACAATGTCCTGAAATAAAAACTGATGAAAACAGGAATAAATGGTTATTATATTGGCATCCAGTGTACAGGGAATAATGAGGACTTGTTTTGCATGGCAGAGCATGTAACTTTGCTGGTTCAGACCCTGGTTTAATTCAGATCATTCTTTTGCTAAGAGATAAAAGAATAAATGATGAAATTCATTGGAACTTGTCAGTACCACAGTGTGCCAAAAGTAAATTTGTCAAGACTTCTGTCCTGTATGCATTCCAGTGTACCTACATGTAGAAACAGTCCACCACAAAAGCAAACTCTGTGTTCCAGTTCATGATGCTAAAACAGCAGCACAGATCTGCTGCACATATTACAAAATTACTGAAATCTTGACATAAGTCATTCTTTTTAAGACCTAGGTTTGAGTCTTGTAGGGTGAACTTAGAATAGATAGACAACATCTCTCTAAGCACTGGGGTTTTCTTGCTGTTGCCACTATTTTTAAAATGGTTTTGATGAGTTTCAGTAAAGATGTTAAGTCTTTTTGTATTCCTTGTTTCTCTCCCCTACCAGAAATATTTTGTGTAATGTGTCTTTTTACATTGTAAGTAAGGTCTAGCTGACTGTTCATTGCTTTTTGTAGCCAGGAAACCCAGGGAGGATTGAACTCATTCTTTTTTACCCCCCTAGCATTCTCATGGCAAAAATGGGATGCATACAGAAAATTGTTTACTAGTCTGGAAAAAAGAGAGAGCCTCAGAATATGAACTGCCATATTATCTTGCCTGATAGCATGCAGTGTTGCTGGCTGAATTTCTGGGCTAGCCATCTGTGCATGTTGCTTTATAATAGCTCCTGACTTGTGTGTTGAGAGATTGAGAACATATTTCTAGGACATTCTCTATAGACAGTGCTGATTTATTTCGTTGTTTGTTTCGGATTGTTAGTAATATATGCTTAACATATAAATACTGCAATGTGTAACAACTCTTCTTCCCTTCTGTAGGCAGTTTCTGTGGAGCTTCAGACTCCCAGGAGAGGCTCAAAAAATTGATCGTATGATGGAAGCTTTTGCTTCACGTTATTGCCTTTGTAACCCAGGAGTCTTCCAGTCTACAGGTCAGTCACAGGACACAGCAGGGGTTCTTAACTACATATATGATCCAAACACAAATTAATATATATGTATGTTCTTCTACAACTGATTCAAGGAGATAATGGCCAGTTCGGAAATGCAGGTTAAAATTTCTGAGAACTGAGAAAATGTGACTGTCCAATCCAGGCAATGCAAGCTTATGGTTAGAATGCATTTCCATTTCTAAAACTTCAGCGTTAATATATATCTAAGTCAGTTAAAGTATAAAACACACTTCAGAAATGTCACCAAAGATTTTGTCAAGGGACTGGAAAAGAAAGATTCTCAGGGGTTTAAGGGCAGAAGAGACCAATAGGTTGGGTGGTCTCCTCTGTCAGTTATAAGGACCTTATACCTCACTATCTGTGTATCATGTCCCCTATATGTGGCTATAGGGTATTATCTGGAAAGTCATCCATCCTCTTCAGCAGCCTGCTCGGCAATAATTGATCTCAGTTAGAAATGCACCTCAGTTTCCCATGGAGTTATTTACCCAATTGACTTATGTTCTTAAATCATAAAAACTACCCAAACTCTGTGGTGCTGCCCAGAATGCAGGGGACTGTTGGTCTCTTTGGTTATAGGCACACATAGTTTGCTGTTGATCACTTAATTTGAGGAACAGATAGGGTGGGAAAAGGTGGATGTAGAGCAGGTCTGCAACAGCTAGAGAGGCAAATACTGAAACCAAAATGCTGAAGGTGCATGAATATTTGTCCTCTGTGTAGCAGAGAGGTTTCCATTCTGCTTTTTCTTACACAGAATCTTGTACTTGAACTCTGGGAGAATTTACTATAATCATAACCATGTCAAGAGGCACGATAAGATTTCCTTTGTCATCTTCTGATATTATCCAGTAGTACTGGCTACCTCCTGTATGCCAAGGAATTGAGTCAGAGTCATTTGCAGTCTTTCTAAATGCAATTCAAAATATTATTTTGAAGAGACAGTCCTTTCTCTTTGGAGAAAGCTTTGGAAATACTCTGAGTAGGAGGAGGCTGATTGACCAAGTTTATTATAGGATGTACCACATGATCTAGGCAGTCTGTGTGCAGAGAACATTTTGCCCAACAACACTTCAGTGTTTTAAGTGAAAAGCTAATTTAGGGTGGTAGCAATGATTTCATAGAGTTAATTTTTATTTTTTTTTTTGATTCTCATACTGTTTTTCTCATAGCGGCTTTTAATTTGAAATCCAACATTTTTCTTCTTAGGCTTACTTGAACAGTGTAAAGAAAGATTGGAGACTTTTTATGTGCAGTGTTCAGGATTTCTTGGCTACCTGTTTCTTTAGCAGTCGGGATGAGCTGTGTGTTAACGTCGCAGGCCGGTGCCCCGACACGCAGGCAAACCGTTTTTACCCCTCTGGTTTCAGATACGTGCTACGTGCTCTCCTTTGCCATCATCATGCTGAACACCAGCCTGCACAACCACAACGTGCGGGACAAGCCGACCGTGGAGAGGTTCATCTCCATGAACCGCGGGATCAACGAGGGCGGAGACCTCCCCGAGGAACTGCTGCGGGTGAGACAAGGCATGGCCTGGGGTCTCCACGGCAGGCACTGAAGTGTGTGCAGCAGTTCTCAGGCAGATCTGTCGAGGGAGGGCGAGAGGAGCATTTTCTAGCTTGCATAACCATTTGAGGAGCTGCAAGCGGCTTCTTGTGATGTTCACAGCTGCTTCGAGCTTGCTCTCCCTGTACCCAACCTTTTGTTGAGGAGAGGAGATCTCAGAGGAAACACTCTATGTATCTCTCAGTGGTGTGCTGGTGGCAAAATTCTCGTGGAATTGGCTTCTTAGGGGAAAAAGTAGTATTTCTGGATAATTTCCAGAGAAAACTGGAAAAAATAGTAACAATAATTGGTTATTGCCTCTCATTTCTTTCCATGTGTCTTGTGGAGCTCCCTCCTGTCCCTGGGGATATGAGTACAAACACGTGTTGTAAGACAGTGTGATGGCCCACCCCATTTTCTGAAAACCCAGATTCATTTGGCAAAACTTGTTCTAAAAGAGACCTGATGCTGAAACCTGGGAAAAGCTGAATTGTGGAATAAAATTAAAATGTCATTACTGGGAGTGCTTATGAAATTGGTACTAAAAAGAGAGACTTGTTTATAGATGAAGTGGTTTAAAATCAAACTCAATTAAAGTCGTAAAGATTGAGAAGGGAGGGTCCAGTATTTGATGGACAGTATTTCCTATGCTTTTAATACAAACAGTCTGAGAAGCAATAAGATATCCTGGTTGCATTTGCTGTTAAGACATTTATTAATGAGGTCTTTTTCCTTTCTTTTTTTTTTTTTTATTCTTCTAGAATTTGTACGAAAGTATTAAGAATGAGCCGTTTAAAATTCCAGAGGATGATGGAAATGACCTAACACATACTTTTTTTAATCCAGATAGAGAAGGTTGGCTGCTGAAATTAGGTTAGTCACAAGGGCACTTGTGCTGCTGGATGTTTGTTCATTTGTTAGCATGTTTGCTGCTTCTGTGTCTGCTTTCCTGGGAAGGTAACAGGATTAACTTTGCCTTTGAAAGTGGATGAACCAAAAATAAGTAGCTCCTTTAGGTCTGAAGGCCATTACTCCTTATTTTGTGTGTCCAAATTAGCCATCTCGTTTCAGACTCTGGAGTTTTATTTCTGAGATACGAGAAATAAAAACTCGGCTACAAAAAGGAAACGCCACATGGTATTTGCCACATGCTGTGACTGATAAATAACAACTAAGTCTCCATAAGGTCATTTCAGAAAACTGTGTGATACTTCAACTCAGTTTTCTGTGTACAAAAAAAAAGGATTTCTCCTCAAATGGTTATTTTTGTATGTCTTTATTTTTCCATATTATTTGTGAGTTTCTCTTGGTTTGGTTTTGGCTATGATTTTTTAATGAGTGGTTTAAATGTGCCTTCTTGTTTTCCTTATGGCCTATGACCTATCACCTTTCTGTTCTGTGACTGGCTGTCTCTGCTTATTCTGCATTAGGAGGTACGTATCTGATGCTTTCCAGTCCCCTCTTCTTCAGTTGCTCATTCTTTTATTTTCTTCCTCCTGCCTCCTGGGTTTTTTTCTTTTCTTTTTTTTTTTTTTTCTTTTCTGTTTTTTTAATCAGATTTGTTGTAGCATTTTGCTCTTTCACTCAGTGTCACTAACAGTGTCATCAGTGGTGCTCTGGGAGACTGGCATGTCAGTGTTTTAACTCACATGTGAGCGTGTTCTGCAAAGGAAGAAAGTGTTTACATGTAAAGCAGGAAAATAAGGATGACTTCAGCATACTTTCCTTATTCATGGAAGAACACAACAAGGACAGAATAATCTCTGTGGAGAGTAAACAAGTCTTACTCTGTCCTGAAGTTTCAGAGTGATGTTGTTGCTTGTTTATCAATGATAATATTGAAAGACGGGTTACATTTGAACTATGTATTTATAAAAACTGTTCTCTTTCCTGTTTATTTTCCTCTGTAAATAACACAATCAGCTTACTGAACAGAGTCTTAAATGAGCTTCAGGTTTAGGCTTGTGGAAACCCCTGATAGTTCAGTCTCCTGGCACTGCAAGATGCAAGTTTACAGACTCCTAAAGTTGATGTGATTCAGTTTTTGACTTGGCCTTGAGGAATTTTTTTCCCATATAAAGGAGAATTACATTTAAATAGTTGTTTTTCAAAGCAATAAACTTATTTACACACCAGTGCACACTCAGTAGAGCCAGTTGTTGGCCAGATTAATTTATTAAGTGCTTGTTAAAGTGGTAAGAAACTTTGCACTTGGAGAGTGGTGACTGAAGTGTGCAAGGGGATTTGTGCACATGGGGAGGATGGGGAATGTGGAGCCTGGACAGAGCCTCGGGCCTGCTCTGCTGATGGCACCTGGAAATCGGTGGTCATGGTAGTGCTGGAAGGAAATGGATGTGAGGAGGAAGCATTTGGAATTCATTCACATGCTCTCCAGTGCTGTGTATTGACCTCTGTGCTACAGATGCTGTGGAGCTCTTTGTCTCCCTAACTACAGAAGAGCAAAGCTGTGGCTTTTTGATATGCATTGACTCTGCTGGCACAGTTTCAAACATGACTTTGCAGCTTTTCTTCATTTTATAGTGTGAGCTGATAGCTTTTCAAGCTGATGTAGATAGAATGTGCTTCCTAGAGAAGAGCTCGGGTATAAGCCCATGCTGTGCCTATTTCTGTTGCCAGTTGCTCTCTCACATACCTACACAGTGCCATCAAATGGGAGTGTGTGCAGAGGAGTGACAGCATTCCCCATGGAAGAAGCTGTCAATTAAAGACATAAAAGAGATCTAATAAAAACCAGAGGAACAAAGAAATTGAGGAAACGATGGCTGGAAACAAGTGAGAGCTGCCAGGTGCTTCTGCACATTCTGGCTCTGGTGCAAGGTCAATAAACCAGAGGTCAGTGCTGAAAACTCTGCCTGAGTTTTCGGTGTGTACAAGGTAGATGGGAGCCAGTGCACAGGAAACCCAGTAGTAAAAGGGTGTGTGAAGCAGGAGGGTGTTACACATAACACTCCCACAGCGTGAGGGTTATTTGAATAGAGAAATGAAATGTATCCAGAAGCCTCTGGTGAATCAGCCTGGAAATGCCTGGAGCTTTGCTTCCGTGAAAGACTGCATTTTTTTCAGCAGACACAGACTGGTACAGACAAATCCACTGCTAGTTTATTTGCAATGACCAGAAATAAACCTGGCAGGTTGTATTTTTTTTCTTTTCTCCTTTCTTTCTTTCGTCTCCCTTGAGTTTCCTATTTGCCAGGAGTCTTAAACTGTATGTTGAGCGTGCTGTCTCAATCCACATTGTTTGCATTTTTACAGTCCCTTCTGTTGGGAAACATTTCTTGTGAAATGGGTAGAGTTTCCTTCAGTTCTGGAAGGTTCTGAGAGTAAAAGTTTCAGTATTGTTGAAATGCTAAGGAGACTAATCCTGTATGAGGGCTTAAGTGCTCAGTTCTGATAATCCATAAAAGTTAAAACAAAGTTTTATGTAAAACTATAAACATGACTAAGACTACTTGCAGACCCTGAGTATATCAAGACAGTATTTTATATCTGGTATTTCTCACAGTCAGCTCTTCCCATTTATCTCCTCTTGCCCCATTTTTTAGTATTCCATCTCTCACTATATTGATTTTCCTCTGGGCAGAAGATGGGTATTGTGAAACTTCCATATGTTGTAAAATTCATGTGTCCAAAAGACCACCCTGGCCCTTGAGCCTGGCCTTGGGCTTTAGGAATCTGGGAAGGTGTGGAATGCTTTTGGAGGGTTTGCTGCTCCGGGTTGTTCAGAGGTGACCCTGTAAGTCTTGAGTGCCAAACCTGGCAGCCAGACAGCAATTCTGGTTTTATCTATCTAGACTTAGCTGGTGCCTTTATTTAGATGTCTTTATCTTGGTAGACCTAAATTATCATCCAGTTCTGCATGGTTTGCAGCCTGGTGTAATGAAAATGAATGCTGCAAGTCAAAAACTGAAAGCTGCTGAGTGCTGGTGAGTCCCCACTCAGAGCAGTGTGAGACATCATGAGATTCCAGATTTTTCTGCATGGTGATTATGAGCGGTGTTGGTACCATGAAATTTTCTGCCATCCACTCTAGGGTATTTTGAAATTTTTCCTTGCCTAAAGCAGCTTGTCTGGGCAGATTGCTCAGCTTGTGTAATATTTGCTTCTAGTCGAGGGAAACTGTGACATTACTCCCCCAAAGTGGAGAGGAAACGATTCGAGCCAGACACACGAGTGTGTTCATTTTTTCTGCCACTCAGGAGCTTACAGAGCGCTTGGAGGTTGTCCAAAAGCTGCACATCCGGGCCCGTCCCGCCAGTGGTGCTTATTCCAGCACATCTGTCCTTGAGAGGATGTTGTTTCTCTTCCCTAATCTGGGCAGGGAGAGCGGTGGTGGCTGATCAGGAAACTGGTGCCTTCCGCTACCTGCCTGGCCCCAGTGCCCTCCCAGGCTGAGACAGCCAGTGATGTCAAGGGAAACTGTAAAAGAAACCCCAACTTCAATCCAGTCATCTGCATAACTGTCAGCTTGCTGAGTCTGTTCTGCCTGGTGGTGTCTAAGTGAACTGAGAAGGAAAAACCACATTCTTGTGTGTGCATCTCTCTCCTTCCCCTCTAAAACTTTCATATAAATGAGCTGAAGATCTGGGCAGAATTTTCTTTCTTTAGATACATCACTGCCTTGAGGCTTAAGGTGTTTTTTACTTTGGGGATTTGTGTTTCCTAAGTCATTGCCTGTTGTTTTTCCCTTGTTTGTCTAGTTTGTACTTTGCCCAGAGTTAAAAAAAAAATAATCCCATGCTGAGTTACAAAGGTGAAGAGGGTTTCTGTTCCTCTTTCTGTACATTTTGCCTTGTGGCCTTTTCTTGTAGTTTCCTTAGATTTCCACCTTTAAGACACCGTGCTTCTCTAGTTTCTTACTTGAGATATGTGTACATTTTTGTTAATCAGCTGGATCTTTCAGAAGTATGTCACTTATCTCTCCGTTTCTGTAAATGTTTATGGATTCATCCTCTGGTTTTCTTCATCCTCTTCTGCTAACTTAATTCCTTCCAGTTTTAATCTCTGAGAGGCTGGCAGCTGGAGTCAGAGATGAAGGATGTTACTAACCCCTTTGTTGTTGTTTTGTGAGCCTACAGCAATCCTGGCCAAGGAAAAGAATGTTTTGTTATCGTGAGTTCTTTGCCATTAATCTTGTGTGCGCTGTTTACGGGCCACAGCGCCTCATCAGCCAGCTGCTTGGGATGCAGCCCATTGGAAAGGCATATTAAATGTGTGTTATATGGTGACCTCTGCAAATTTGATTAGTACAGATTAGATTCTGAGCTTTATTAGAGTTTCTGTGCTGTTGACAGCTGCAACTAAGTAATGGGGTGGGGAGACAGAGACTGACATGTGAGAGTAGTTCCTTATCCTGCAAAAAAATCTTGCCTTACTGCTTGCCTTTTTTTTTTTCTGGAGGAGTAACTCATAGCTTGGTGGAGCAGGGACTTAGGGCCTGTTTCCATGACTCACTGGAGTGCTGTAACCCTGGGAGCTACTGCTTGGTTTAGGGAGAAGGGAGCAGTAAGAGGGGTGGTGTTGGAAATATTCAATCTTCCTTCTGGCTTCAACATCAATACTATCCTGGAGCTGGGGAATGTTTCAGGACAAAAGCTTCATGCTGCAGTTTTGATGATTACAGAAGGTTTCAGGTTAGAGAAGTCTGGCTTTTCCAGAGAGAGGGGATGTTGTCAGGAAAAATGTCAGTGAGCTCACTGAACCACAGTAGTAAAACTGTTTTTACTGTTTGGCACTTCATGTTGTTCTGGGAGGTGTTTCAGGTCCATCGCTTCTGCCTTAAATTACAAGCAGGCCTTCTTTTAAATATCTGGTTATTACCTGATTTTTTTATTGTGTTCTGACATGACATGGTGGTTTATGAGAAACACCTTTGCTCAGTTTAAGCTGCTCTGTGACGTGTTTCCCTGTTTTTCATCCTCTCTCCTCCTGAATTGTTTCTCTGCCAGACCTGGGCTAGCCACGACCTCTGATAGCTGATGTTACCTGTTAGCCTGAAACACGTGCTGATGTTTTAGGGCTATGCAAATGTTAAGTGGTGTTAACCTGTTAACCTTAGAGGACAGAACGTGACTTGAAGTCATGGCAGTTAATAGTGGGTTATATGAAAACATGGCATGTTGTGGGGATCTCAAGGAGTGCCCGACAGTGGCCTTGACTTGGCAGCTGCTTATTCACTGATCTGGAAGTGAGTCAAGCTCAGGTTCGTCATTCCAAACCCAAATACTTCCTGGTACTTGACCCAGCTCTCGGTCAAGGTGATGGGAATTTTTCTAGTGACTTACGTGCCAGTTTGAGTGTCTCTGCAGTGCTTTATTTAAGGATCTGTCACAGTGGTTGTACTAAAATGCCACCAGTTCTTCCCTCACTGTCTCCAGTTCACTCAACCATTCATTGTGTCACGGCTTCTGCATCTTGCACTATTTTGCCTTCTCTTATTTCACCACACCTGCTTGCAGATTAAATTTTTCTTAAGATACGTGTCCATCTAGTGGAAACATATGAAGTTTATTGAGTGCAATGAATGTTGCAGTGTGTTAGCACTGGTTTTTCTGTAGGTTGTGAAACCAAGCAGAAGGAAGATACAATGTGCAACATACTTGATCTGCAATGCAAATATTCACTAGATTGGTACCCAGGAATGTCATGACATTCCTAGAATTGCTCTTTAATTCAATATGATTTGGATTTCTGCATTAAACAAAACCCCAGCTATCTCAAGTAGAACAAAAAGATTAAAAAAATTATGCTCCTGTCTTAAATTTGGTGATATGACTTGGATTAAACTGGGTGTCTTGTGTGTGTCGATGGTGCTCTTTTATGCAGGGGTGTTCAACAGCAAGATCAACTATTTTGAAATGTTGAGTTAATGAGGTTAAATCCCTGCTGAATGGATGATGCACAGGTGGTGACATAATCCTGAAGTCAGATAACTATGGTGGATCTAAGCCTGTGTACTAATAACACGTGAATGCTTTACCTCCAGTTCTTTCCTGGAAATGAGTTTTAAAATAACGTAATTGGGAGAAACCAAACATGTTCTGAAGCAGCCAATGGCAGAAAAACTGAAAGGGGAACAAAACAATAATGTGTTTCTAAAAAGAAACCGTTTCCTACAGCACATGTGTAAGGAAGAACTCTGTGGTTGCTGTTGTCTAAACTGTTAATGCAGGAAAAATTGGCATTTTTGGAGCAGTAGAGATGTCTGCTGTCAGGTGTACTCAATGATATATTAACCCATAAAGAGAATATGTTTTTAAATGACACATGACTAAAAGTGGTATGTCTTGGCTTAGGATTTGCTCCTTACTGGTGACCCATCATGTTTGTTCTGTAAGTGATGTTTATGAGCATCTTCCGCTCTCGATGCTAAATCTGAAAGTAGAGATAAGTTCTTAATCACGTGTTTGCTCACGAGTGGATTGGCAGGAAGGTGATAAAATTATCTCTTAATTTGATTGATGGGACCATTTCCTCATCCAAGACAAGCTGTGGAGGGGCTGGTCCTGTTGCTGGGACCCCGTTGCTGGCCATCCACGCAGTGCCACTGGCAGTGTGAGCAGGTGGCTGGGGGTGTTTTGGCCTCACTCAGCCTGCCCTGGCCCTGCAGCACTGTGTGTGTTCATGCTCTGGGGGCACAAAACCCCCTGGGAGGCCTGGCCAGAGGGAGCAGGGCTGGCTCTGTGGCTGCTCAGCACCACCATGGTTAGCGCTGCCTCAGGACAAGAGCTGCGGGAACAACGTGTGCCTTTAACCTCGCCCATCTGTGCCTGATCCATTTACCACTCAGGAATTAAACCCTATTGTGAAAAAACAAGCAGAACTAAATTATTTCCTTGCCTATTGCTGAAGCCTTGACAGCAGCACAGGTTTAATTCCAGCCTACCTTTTGATTGTAGGGGGAAGAGTAAAAACATGGAAACGGAGATGGTTTATTCTGACTGATAATTGCCTGTATTACTTTGAGTACACAACAGTGAGTATAAAACATGGTGCATTTCCTTTGTGATCAGGATATTTAAGTGGCTAATAATGTGATCTTTTCCCAACTTTTTCAGGACAAAGAACCTAGAGGAATTATTCCATTAGAAAATCTTAGCATAAGAGAAGTTGAAGACCCTAGAAAACCAGTAAGATAGTTTCATATTTATTTTTTTTAATGAAAAAAAGTAAACCATGTAGAACTTAATTGTACTGTTAAATGAATATATTCATCAGTTTTGTTTTGTATTGGTTTTTTTTTAATTTATTTCTTGATCTCTACTCTCCAGAACTGCTTTGAGCTCTATAACCCCAGTCACAAAGGTCAGGTAATTAAAGCCTGTAAAACTGAAGCTGATGGCAGAGTGGTGGAAGGCAACCACGTAGTGTACAGAATATCTGCTCCCACCCCAGAAGAAAAGGAAGAGTGGATTAAATCTATCAAGTGAGTTTAAAGTCTTAAATGTCTTTCAGAACTCTTTTCAGAGTTTGGTACTAACAGAATTTGTTCTGCCTTGTTTGAAGGACTCTGCTGTGGCAGTGTCCTCTGGGATTAATGATGAGCTCCGTGGGGTTGATGGATCAAGATGCAACTCTCCTCTTACTGTCTGCTCCTTAGGAAATAGTGCTGCTAACTCAAAGAGGAAAATACAGATTTATTTTTTTAGGCAGATGTAAATCCTTGTGTGAGTTGTCTTTAAACCTCATTTTGTTGGATTCTTACTTTCCCTAATCATTATCTTTGGTATCTTAAGTGTGTTCAGAGGCAGCTTTAAACTGTCGCAGCTTGGCTTTATCTTGGAAAGTTTATAAACAGGCCCACACTTAAAGAAATAAATAATAGTCAGATGGAGGTATGAACTCTTAACAAATCACAGCTGAATATCATCTCTTGCTAAAGAAGTATTTGTGGTGCTTCGAAGTGAACCATCCATTATCTTATTAAAAATGTGGACTCATCCACAGGGAAGAGACAACAAAATGGTTTCAGTTTTCAAAACCAGGTACTTGTTAACCAAACTGATGATTCCTTTTTTTTTGCTTCCAGAGCAAGTATCAGCAGGGATCCCTTCTATGATATGCTGGCAACAAGGAAACGAAGGATTGCAAACAAGAAATAGAACACAATCAGTGACTTGGAGAGCTGCAGCAACCTGTAAATGAGCGTACAGTGGAGTCATCATGTAAACATTGGACAAACTAAATGAAGACAATTACTGTAAATTTTATATATATATATACACTTTATTATGGCGTAAAAACTTGGTAAGACCTTTCAGGGTAAATAGTTACTGGCATATAATTTGAAGGAAGCTTCAAATCCCCAGAGAATTCAACTGAAAACATGGAAGCCTTGTTTTCCTTTGTATTAGTTACAACTCCAGCTGACTTGGGTCGGGAGGGAAGGAGTTCAGGGCTGACAGTTGATGTGCACTGAAAGCACAGGCAGGTCCCAGCAGCCAAATTTGAGCCTGTCGACGTGACACGAAGCGCAGACGTGCTCTGAGATTTGCCAGTCGGCTAAAACTCATTCCTGCCTGCTCACACCCACAGTAAGCACTAAGGTTTAATGACTGGTTTAATCTGCTTTTTATACAGTAACATCCTTCTTATGTTTTAGATATGTTGTGGCTTAATTAACACTAAGTTAGTATTAAAGGAATGACAGGGTTTGAGTGAGCTTAGGCTTTGCATGTGAAAACACCCCCAAAATAATTTCACATGCATTTCATGTTTTTCAAGGGGAGAAACCAGGAAGGTGAAATCTTTCTGTAGGATGCAGCCCTGGAGAGTTAAGCAAGCAGGACTCATTCCTTTGCTTGATAACAAACTTTGGACATACAGAGAAGTTCAGTACTTTTATTGCATTTTTGAGGCAGTTTTTCAGATCTGTGCTTCGGCAGTTGATGTTTTAAAAAAATGAAGACACATCCTTATTTTTACTTAATAATTGGATGGCATAGTGCAGGTAGACTCCCCCACAAGCACATGTCCCTCTGTTGTTTTTGTAATTTGTGGAAGATCCTTGTGGTCCTACTGATGGGTCTTTCAGGGACACGTCAGCTGCTACAGCAGATTGTACTCCAGTATTTTCTGTTGAGAGCACACACACTGTTCTTAAGGGTAAAGCTCCTGATTGCACAACAGAGGCAAAGAGGGGCTTTTTTGACCCTACTGCTTCTGTTTATACCCCGTTTTTCCCAAACTTGTTGAACCTGAGCCGTGCCTACTGTGCCAGTGACCGCTCTGGAGACCCGAAATGCCGAAGCAGTTTTGCCTGTTAGAGTTCCAGGAGCATCTCTGGGTCTGCTGTAGGGAAATGTGCTGCACATTTTGTGTGGCAAACCCCCCGACTCTCTGAGTGGATCTGTTTCAGATCTCCTTTGAACTGCGAGGGAGAGTTGTTTCATTGTTCTGTCTTACTGATTTGCCTTGTTTTGCATGGGGTGTCAGCCTGTGAGTGTTTTGCTTTTACTGCATGTTTGCAAAAGAGGCCGAGAGGAAAAGAACAAAGTGAACTTTCCTCCACCTTCGAGTTTCCCCGGAGTGGGTGGAATTGCTTGGGTGAATGTTCAAATCCCAGTGCTTCCAAGGGAGTAAAACTCAACCAAAGGAGGTAGAATCCTTGAATAAGTGTCAGTGTGGGGATATATTTGCTTAATGGAACACATTTTAAACTCTTCACAGGAATTGTGTGTCTCGTGTTTGCGAAGCAGCGCAACGAGAGAGCTGCTGCCAACACTTGTTTTGAGTCTTCCACTCTGCAATGACACGATTTGTTTTCAAGCACTGCTTCCATCAGCCTTAGCTTCGGACAAGTAGATTTGTAATGCAAATAGTGACAAGCCAATCAGTGGTACTTGGTGAGCATAAAGGTGAGAGGCAGCAAACAAAGTATTTCTGGAGAAACGTGAGATTCTAAAAGCATGAACAAGCCATGAAGCACTTTTGTATCAATTCTTATCTTCTGAAATGTCACCTTTGAGGAAATCTGTGTCTTTAACCAGGTGAGGATGTCTGCCTGTGAGCATGAAGGAAATGCCTTGAGAGTTCATTTGCTGTATTTAGTTTGAAGTTCTTATATCCTGCAGAAGTAATTATTTAGAGTAACATGTAACTGAGGGTATTGTAGCAGGAAATACATTATTTCTTAGCGTTGAAATGCAACATCTTAAACAGCTACTTGTGGTGCTCAATGTATCTATTTAATTTACCAAAGCTAACGGAACAGCCTTCTCATGTGTGTTCATATTTGATTTCAAAAGTTCCTTGTAACAGTATTAACAGGGAGTGAAACTGGCCCAAAATTTCCACTGGCCACGAGGCCAGTAAAACAAAGTGGCTTGTGAAAATTTTGGCCATATCAGGTACTATCCCCGAGGGTGAAGAAAAATCTCTCAACCTTTCCCTTTTTTTTTTTTTTTTAATTGGGCTTCAAGTCCAGGGTGGCTGCTGAGAGTGGCTGCTCATGCCCTAAAGCAGGATCTGTTACAGTTTGGCCACGCTGAGGAAAAGTCCTTTGGGGACAACAGATTCTCCCTTGCTGTTGCACTGAAACTTGGATAATTTTCCAGCTTTTTTGGTTCTGCTGTTGCAGGGGCAGCAAGAGCCAGGGCTGCTCCTGCCACGTGCTCAGCGTGTGATCCGCTGGGCACTGCCAGTGCAACTGGGAGAGAACTCTACATAAAACTTAAGCTCAGCTGGACTGACTTAAATTTTACAATATTCTGACAAAATAAGCTCAGCATCACTGAAACATTTTGAACCGTTTTCAACTGGTACAAAACTGAACCTTTGTAAACTGAGCAGCATTTATAATGCTTCATATATAAAAAAACAATGCATATTTTTAAGATTTATTACATATCTATGTAGATATGCTTGCTGGAAAAGCTAGGTCTGTTGTAGACCAAATGCTACAAATTAAGACTTGTGGCTTACCAGTTTCATTTCTATATTTTCTTGGAAAATGTTTCTAGCTAGAGTTTAAATATAAAATGTAAATACTGTACAGATATGTATTGATATAAGTATTACTTGGTGTACACAAGTGATTTGCATGACAAATACTCTGTATCACTGTTAAAAATGTGATGTTCTTATGTAAAGCCACTGCAATATTAATGTTTTCATTTATCATTAAGACCTGTTGCTTAAATCTGTCAGTTTTCTCAAAAATAAAGTGTGAAACTGTACTGTTGTGTATCTCCCCATTTACCAGGAATGCTTGGGAGGCAATTGCTGACTTCTTCTTTAGAAATTAAGGTTTAATTTTACAACAGCTCTTTCAAGGAAAAGGCCTCTTTTCCCTGCCTTGAGGCACAGTAATTTCAATGACCAGGTTTAATTTTTCAGAGAGAAGCCCCTTCAGCTGCTCAGTAGGTTGTTTTGGTGCAGTTTGCTGCCACTGTCACTCCATTCACTGCTGGTTTCCCTTGAGAGCCACCCTAAATTAAGGTGTTTTGTCAGTTCCCTAATGTGAGTTTCAGTCAAATGTAAAGGGGGGGTCAGATCTCTTCTCCTCAAGTAGGATAATTAGTTTCCTCAATCAGAAGTAGCTGCTGCTCCTCAGCTCTTAGGGAAGGGTCACCGAGGGCTCTCCCTGCGCTGCTCCAGAGCCGGGTCGGGCAGATGTTGCCTCTGGGGCTCTGAACGAGGTACAGGAGTCACCACTTAAACCGCTTTGACACATTTTATGCCAGAGTTACTCATCAGACAAAGGACAAGACACCAACCCTTGGAGCCAGAGGACAAAAGAAGAAAAAAAAGCCAGATACAGGACAGGTATGTTGGCTACTTTGCCAGGTTACTTTATGTAACGTCACAGAACCGTTGCCATAGGAACATTACGCAGGTACACTCGTGGTTGGTTTGGCTTTAACGGTGCTCCCCACGGACCCAAAGATGAGGTCTGTAGTGACACATTAACCTCGCTCCTTCCTTCCCTGGATTTTAGTGGCACGCGCGCTAAAGAAGCTGCAGCTGAGCTCCCAGCCCGTGCCTGGCCGGGAAGCTTTGGAGTTCCGAGGAGAAAGGCGGCTGCGTCCTCGTCCCAGGGCACTCACTCATCTTCTCTGGCTCCCAGCGGCATCTTCTCCCTACCCTGAGAGGCAGATGGAGCTCCTCGAGCATCGGCCACGCTCTGCCAGCTCCCGGGACACGGTGCACGTGAAATAACTCAAGTAAAACTCCAGGAAAAATCCATTTTAACTTTGCTGTATTTATATACTATATAAATTTTACATGCTATATATTTACAGTGGGGCAAGTGCTTTCTTTATCTTTAAAAAAACAAAGATCAAACTTTTAGACATCTCTGAACAACACAGCTTGTATAAACCAGACAGATTATTCAGATGAACTGTATTTAATACAGGTTCCCCACTCATCTCCTGATGCAGGACCAGTGAATAATAAGTGCATCACAGTTTGATAGCATTTAATAATAAAAATAAAAATCACAGTATGAATTTGTCTGTAACTAGACACTTTAGAGAGACAAAACAGACAACTGAGACTTAAGACAAATGACAGTATATTAAGAAAATGTAATAAAAACATATGGAACAATATACAAATAGTCTTGAGAGATACATTCAGAACTGCATATTCGTTGTTTCACAATGTTGAAAACCAGAAGATTTTCTTCAGATCTTGAATATAACTCAAATGTGAAGTAAATTAGTTTCTAGTGTCAGACCACAGAAAAAAAAAAATAAAAATGAAGCTCTTGCAAAACTTGTGAAGTTTTAAATAAGTCTTTAAATTAAATATACAGACTGTCAGTTGCAATTTTTATACTTCCTGGTCGCTCTTGCACCAGATGTCTTAACTTGGAGTAACATTACATGAATAACATAAAGTCAACCTGAGTCTGTAATTAAGCAGCATTTGAGATGGTCTATTCCAGGGCATTATCTCACCTCAGTGAGATATTTATGTGGTAATTTACAATGTTCAGCAGTTGTAAAAAGTTTTCACCCTTTTGGATTAGAAGTATATTTTAAAAAAGAAAGTCTCAAGTTAAAAACTAAAAAAAAGTTCTTATATGGTAAAATCTGTACAGAAATGTTAAGCACCACTTATGACTGGATTTTTGTCTTGATGGTAATTGTTTTGATAATAAATTTTAAGTTTTGATGGTCAATATTGGTAATGTCAGGTAATTGAAGGTAAGAAGTCGTGGGTTTTGATGATAAAAAGTCGTTGATTGGAAGGTAAAGGGTTGCTGGGGTGGGTGGGAAGAAGTCGCTGGGTTTGGTGGTGGGTTTAGTCTGAGTATTGAAGGCTTTCCTCAGTCAGCTCCACACCTGAAAGGCAAAGGGAAGCAAGGTCAGTCCTGTCACGGCACTGAACATCAAACTGGGTCTCAGTGGCTCCATTTCTAACACAGAAGGTTCAGAGCTGCCCCCTCCATCTGCTCTGTGACTGCAGGATCCAGCTCTCCCAGCCTGAGCCCATTCCAGTTCTAGGCTGAGGCTGCTGACCCATTTCAGAGCACGAGGACAGAGCCACCTGCTCCAACAGCAAGTGCTGGACCTCAGGAAGTCCCATTTAGCTGAAGGTTTGCCTTGACAGCACCTCTGTGGTCAGGCTGACCCAGCCCTACCCACCCAGAGCCTGCAGAAACTCCCTGCAGAGAACAGGTAAGAACGTGGGATATAAAGCGCTTTAGAGCAACCAACACACCCTCCTTCACCTCAGCCAGCAACCTCACTGCCCCAGGACAACGAGGTGCAAGGCATTTATTATCTCATATTTATCTTCTCCGTGTATTTCAGTTTAGAAAAACCCAAGTTTGCCATCTGCTGGCCAGAGAACTCCCTAAAGCCAAACCAGCACTGAGCACATGCATTTTACCCTGTTTAGTTCCTGATTTATCAGCTAGACCTGAGACACTTTTAGTGCAATAAGGGTTATTTTGATATCAGTATAATAAAAAAAGGTCTATTTTTACCACATTAGTATTTGAAAGACCTCAGTTCAGTCCTTCTTTAATTTTCCTTGTTTAAAATAATGGGTGAACAATCAGCTTTCTCTCCACACTGTATTTTCAGAAACTTTGGGTTGCTTATGTCCTAAATTAAGACAATCAGTTTTCCACCAATGCATTTCCTCTTTGCCTTGGGCAAACTTTTCAGTGCAAGAATCTACTAACTGTGGCAATTTACCTCAATGTGGAAACCACATGAAATCCTGGGAATCTCTTTCAGGATTAAACTTCTCCAAATAGCAAAATGCACTCAGCCATAATGACACTTTCAGCACTGGGCTGGTAATGAGCAGGACTGTCACTGACAACTCACCCAATTCCTAAATTGTGGGTAGGTGTAAAATGTAGAAAATGTAACAATAAAACTTGCTTTTGGATAGTGAGCTGCCCTTCTTCAGGGATCACTTCAAATATCCACGTGTAAAATAGCTGGGGGATTGTTCTGGTTTTTATATATCAGTAACTGGAACTGGTTTATGTCAGGTAACAGGCATTTGAAAAGGTTTCATTTCTACAACAAACACTTCTGTTCAGAAAAAATGTCATGGGAAATGCTGTCAAATTTGATTTTAGATGTTGCATGTGTGGCAGTGTGCAGTCTTTCTTCATTGCATAATTCTAGAGCTAATTAATTTAATTCATTTATCTACTGAGAGCCCAAGTCAAGATTATGACAAGCAACAGCTGAGAGTTCAGTGTGAATTCAGTCAGGCATTCGAGTTGGTATTTAGGTTTTTTCTAAGAAGCACCAAACAGGCTTTTTTAAAAAAATATTAAGAATTGGGAAAGAGCTGCTTCATCAGCCCACTTCTACGTATTTTTAAGCCTAAACTAACAGAAAAAAGCCACAACTAAATGAAATAGCAGGATTTTAACACACCCTCCAGGTGTTAAATTGGGAAGTGTCCTCTGGAGGGTTGACAACTGAGCTTAAGAGAAGGCAGAGGTGCACCTGAACCAGCAATATTTCGGTATTATCACCAATTTCTGTTACTCTGAATAAGCAACCAGCAGTTTCTGTGCCATGAAACAGCTGAACACAGTATTTTATTTAAATCACAGAACGGTTTGGGTTGGAAGGCACCTTAAAGATCACCTATTTCCAACCCTCCTGACACGATATTGTTTGGAAGGCACGAAATATAAAGCAGAGATTTCATCACAGAAGCATTTAAAGGCTGTTCTGAATCAAAAGCAGTCCTGCCAACAGCCTGGGCTTCCTTACCTCTGCCACACTCCTGGGATGCCACGGAGCTGCATTTCTTGCTGTCACCTGCACCAGAAGGCTTCTCTTCATTGTAGGGTTGTTTACTGCCCTGGCTTCTGTATTGCTCACATAAATGGTCATCTGGAGGACGGGATTCTTCTTGCTTCTCCCATGTTTTCTTCTGGAAACGAGGATCTAAATATTCCAATAAGTCTTTCAGTTTCCTGTCGTGCTTCTTCTTTTTCTTCTTTTTCTTATGTTTGCGATTGTCATTGTCAAAGTGGAGCACAGAGCAATCCAAATCATAAAGTCTGAAGGAAACATGCAAGTTAAAAATAGACAGACAGATGTGGCACTTGATGTATTATATGAAATGTTATTTATTTTACCACAGGTGGCGACTTGCAGCGTGTTTTGTGGTCATTCCTGCACATCTAACTTACTTTAGACGCAGCAAACTTAAGCCCTCAGCATGAAGGACAACAGCTCCTGGTTCGTACACAGATCGTTAACAGGGGCTGGTTGTGGAATATGGGGTTTTTTAAAAAAAAAAAAATTTAAAAAATTCAATTTGTAGCCTAATCAAAAACCGTGTGCAATGTTACTCTGACTGCGATGTCCAGCTCTAGTGTCCTAACACAATTCAGCAATATCTTTCCTATCTTCACTTGACCAACCTAATGACATGATCCCGTCACGTTATGGCAAAAAAATAACTTAGAAACAATGGAAAAAAAGGCAGACATGAGAAATACCCAGAAAATAATTAGGAAAAAAATTGCTGATTATGCTGGAATCCTTGCTTACTTGTAATCCTTCTCTCGATGTTTATCTTTGGACTTCTTTTTCTTCTTGACCTTCTTATACTTTTTGATTCTTTGGTCATCTACCTTTCTGTATTTCTTTTCTATGTCACTGCCACTTTCTTCCTGGTGGGAGTATCTTCTTTTGCTGTTCCTCAGTTTGTCGTTTTCCCGGGAAGAGTCCTCCGGGTG